TAATGCATACTTTCTTATCATTTAAAATACTACTTTAAATTTTACATTCGAGTATTTTAAGATTTTTCTATGTTCAGTAACAAAAGTTTAAAAATGATAACCTAATAAAACAACAATAAAAGTAATCAGTACCTTAAAGAACTGCTTATTCCCGTGGAAGGATGCATGTGTTCCTAACTCCTACACTCCTTTCGGTCATTGAGGAACTTCAATTACCATAAAGTCATTTTAAAAACAGGATCTAAGAGCAAGACTACAGTTCAGAACCTGCTTTGTCCTGCTCACCAGGCTGTCTGTCTCCTTGCTGGAGGTGGTTATAGGTATTAAGTGCCATTAGATGCTCAGAATATAAAAACATATAAGTAATATTGCTCAGATACACATAACGCATCTATGGCTCAAACATACCATGTAAGTATGTTTGTTATAACGTATCAACCTTTGCTTATTGATAGAAAAAAATCCCTAGGCACTTCTTTAAAACCACACAAGCCAAAGAGGTAGTAATAGTCGTATTTTAAGTTTCATTTCTCTTATCTTTCTTCTGGGTCAAAGTTTTTAGCATTTAGTTCAAAAAGAACATACACTACTAGAAGGGAGTGGTCTACTTGAAAACAACAGGAAAATGCCAATGCCATATGTGTTGAATACCACCAGGCTGTCAATTTAGGTAAGAGGGGGTAAATAAATTAAGTGACTATTTTCAAAGGATGTAAGTGCTTTGAGTGTCTGGAGAAATGACCAGTTTAAACTATTCCATCTGCATTCACTTTGGGATATTAGGCAGCAAATGAAACACTATGACAGCCCAACATATCATTTGGCTGAGAAAAAAAGTATTAAAGATGCCATTCCTTTTAAAACATTTTTTTGGAAATATTTTAATTATATCAAAATCTATTATCTGTGATATAAAATGGCAACTGAGTGCATTTATTTTGCTTTTCATTAATGTAATATAGTTGAGCTACAAAATAAAGACCAATGTCTAAATTTAGATATTTTAACATCAGTTAATATATATAAAAAAGTTACCCATTCTCCGAAAAGAAAATTTACTATGCACTATTTTATAATTATAGTCATTGAGACTCATACCAAATTTGTTTTAAGAGTGTTCTGTTGACATCTCCAAACAACATGAAGTAATAACCACCACAAAATTAGGTTCTTCTTTAAAACCCAGCCATGCAGCTGACATATCTTATAAGTTTTGGTAAAAAATATTAATTTGAGAATGACTATGTTATCCTGTCTCTTGAATTCACAATTCACTGCTGTGAACGGATGCTGCCATACAACCGGCAATGGGTTAAGTCTTTGGAAGGCAAGGTTCCAATCAGATTTTGAGGGCTCTCTTTTAGTGAGTGCCAGGAGCCATGTTCCTTAATTTTTTGTTGGCCAAGTTTACCCTTTTCTACATTTATGGTGAGTGAAAGAAACAAATGCAAGTCAAGTATCCAGAGCCCAAACCCTGGGAGTCTGTTATCAAAGGAACAGGAGCTGAAATTTCCAGTGACTACTAACTACAATAACCTCCTATTGCTATAACATCACATAACTTGAATTAATTCTGTTAAGATCACATAGAAATATAAAATCTCATGATGAACTGAGGGGGCAAAATGTTTATTTTGAAAAAGAATTCAATCTACCAGCAAAAATTAGTGAGGTTACCTACAGAAATTACAAATGGAAATACAGAATTAAAAGAAGGGGAATTCTGACAATGGAAAGATGTCTACTGAAAGTTTAGAGATATTTACTAATCATGTCCAGATTTCTAAGCCAAAAATCTATATATAATCTCTAATTATATGAGCTCAGTTCCTTTATTTTTAAGCATGTTGTAGAGATGAGATAGATTTTGATGATGTCTAAAAACCTGGTAAAAATTCGTCAATTCTAGAAGTTCCAAAGACATAAGTCATTTTAAAATTAAGATAAGTTTGAGGATTGCCCAGGGGCACGCATCTGTGGAATGTACCAGTTAATATAACATTCAATTAGTTCCAGGAAGTTCTGAACTCAAAGAGAACATCCAGGTGAGAAACAAGGAGGCAGTTACAAGTCTCTCGTGAAGGAAAGAGTGAGGACTGACATTTCTTAAGGCTTGCTAAAATTAATCAGCGCTACCCAGGATCTGCAGACATGGTACCTAGAGGTTAAACTGCTTAGTCTCCAATTCATCAGGGTATCCTGTGGCAGCCCTAACTTAACCAGATATAAAAACAAATGGCAGATGCCTGGACCATAAATATTCCTTTAAGCCATGCTTGTCACTTAAACAAAAAGCTCATCGTTTCCCTCATCTGAATTTCTAAAATAAAATGGGGTCATCTTTTAGCATATTAGAGTTTTTTGATTTAGTGTTTCCTAGCTCCATTTAGAATTGCCTTCTGTTTGATTTTTCTTATAAAGCAACTCATAGCAAACAAGTAAATAACTAAGGTATTTGTAATTCAAGAGATGATTCAAATGAAGGCAGGGTTATCTTGGGAGTATTCACTCTAAACTTGAATTCTCAAATGCTTATAATCTCTTCAAACATTACTGTGGTTAAAATATATTTTGGATTTATGATTCCAAAGGGCTCAGTTATCTGACAAGAACAGGAGCATATTAAATCTTTGCATAATACATTTTTGAAATGGCTTGCATATTAGACACTAAGCAGTTATTAAATTTTGCTTTTAACCTACCAGTTTTCTAAATCTTTCCTCCACAGCTTGATCCCCATAGAGAAAAAAGTAACTCAAACAAAAATTTTCCTGTTTACTGCAACAGCTATTTACTTATCTGTGCGCCAGGTTGAGAAATTACAGAACGAGGATTCGTGTATTTTGCCCGGAGGGTATCTTGCATAGACATTGGCTTGAATTTTCATTTATATTTTCAATTCATAAAAGGATTATATATTTTGACCCACTTATAAACTGAATGATATAATAGAAAACAGCATGATTTTCCACTTGCTATTTAACTGATGTTGACAAGTCACTTCAAACTTTCTAAACTTCATTTAGCTTATTTGTAAATGGATATAAAAATACTGCCTGGTAGGACAAATGACATAATGTTAAAGTGCTTTGACAACTTTAAAATGTTATGTAACTGTAAAATATTTTATATCAGTACGCTACTTTTATAAGAATGAAAACCAGCTTATTTCCCCATCATGTCTTCTGTAAAAAGAGGAAAAAGGACAGTTTCTCTCGCAGTGATCTGAGAGTTTGTTACGAAAAGTTTCAAATTTAAGAAAAATTTTCCTAACAACTAAAATATTATAGGTTAGAGCTAAAATTCAGAGGCCCTTTAATCTAGCCACTTTAGTTCTACATATAAGAAAAGAAAGACCCAGGAAGGCTAAGTATTAAAACATCCAAACAAAACAGTCACAAATGGGGGTGGAATGAGAAGAAATAAAGACAAATTTTAAACGTTCCACTTTGTCCTCGGGTCATTCTTGCCTGGAGAAGTTAAAGGGTAGGATAAGAGTTAGGGGCAGGGGCAGGTTCAGAGTTTGAGATCAAGTTCTTGCCAGAGTATAGCATTTTAATGTTACTTTTTTAGCCAATTATAAAATAAAAATTATGATTATGAGAATACATAAATGGTTTTGTATTAAACACTCTAAGAAATAGATGTCTATACAAACATCTACAGGTATATATAATGTGTATTTACACACAATCATAGTACATTCGTTTTTACAACTCAATTATTCTTCCTTTATAGCTCAGGAAGCTAAGGCACAGAAAGGTTAAGGAAGTTGAGCTAGATTACACAGCTTGTGTCTATATCAAGGTTTCAGCCATGACTGACTGGCCCTTGGGCCTTTTTTTATTTTTACTTTTTCATGAATGGGTGTTAGGTTTTGTCAAATGTTTTTACTGTATCAATTGATATGACCATGTGATTTTTTTTTAGCCTGTTGATATGATGGATTACATTGATTTTTAAATGTTGAAACCAGCCTTGTGCACCTGGGTTAAATGCCTCCTGAGTTTTTCATAACCATATACTTAAGAGCTTTTCATCTTGCAGTGGAAATATTTTTCATAAGGAACTTTATGCTTTTTTGATGATTTAGCTTTACAAATTCTGATGTGTTCATTGATGAGAAAAGGTTGCAAAGGACTGTACTGACAGAAAAAAGGAGAGAATAGGAAGAGTTTGTTACCAAAGTTTAACTTGAAAGTGTCCTAAAATTATGAGTCCATTATTTTTGAACCTAATATTTTCGCCCAATTTTTATGATATTAGAATGTAAGATATAACTGGTTTAGTACCAGAAATTTCAAAGCTATGTTTTAAAAATGCACATTCCATACGATCCATAGGCACATTCCATAGGTACTGTATTTTCCCTAGAGAAATGAGAGGACATGTCCATTCAAAGACTTGTACATGGATGGTCACAGCAGCTTCATTTGTAGTAGCCCCAAACAGAAAACCACCCCAAAGTCTATCACAGCTGAATGGATAAACCGTGGAATATTCATGTGATGTAATTCTACTCAGCAGTAAGAAGGAATGAATTGATACACACTACAACATGGGTGAATCGCACAAAAAAGTACCAGACTGTATGATTCCATTTACATGAAACTCTAAGAAGTACTAGTATAGTTTCAGAAAGCACATCAGTGGTTGGCTGGAGAGGATGAGGGAAACAAGCCGGTCAGAGAAAGATGAGTGCCATACGATTTCACTCACATGTGGAATTTAATGAACTGAACAAACAAGCAAAACAGAGACAGACTCAGAAGAGAGCAGGCGGGAGCTCTGGTGGGGGTGGGGGATGTCTTCGGGGGGATGGAGGGATTGAGCAAAAAAGAAGAGAGAACTCACGGACACGGACAACAGTGTGGTGGCTGCAGGGGGGAGGAGAGGAGGGGGAGGTGGAAGCAGGCAGAGGGGATAAATGGTGACGAAAAATAAAATAAAATAAAATTTAAAATAAACTGTCATCAAGGAAACCTCTAAAATGACATTACCTGGAATCAGTTCCATAATGATATAGATAGGCTGTCTTTGTGTGCAAACTCCGATAAGTTTGACAATATTGGGATGATCATATTGCTTGAGAATTCTGTATGGGAAAAAAGTGTAAGAATAATTATTTAAATAAAGCATTAATTCATGATCATAAATAATGTACACTAGTAGGATACACTTTAATCAATATAATTCAATTTTTAAAACTTCAGTGTGAACCCAAGTTATGACAAATGGGATATATGCAAATTTCCATAAATGTTGGCAAAATATAGGCAACAAATCAGTCAGTTATCCTTAATTCAATTCAATATTCACTTAAAAATTATTAGCCACTCTGAATGACTAGCAACCACGCTAAACAGAAATAACTTACTTAGTCCAAAACATGTAGAACTCCCTTCAAAATATCTGGGTTTAGCCACCACCACAAAAGCAGAGCTGAAAAGTATTAATGAACTCAAAACTGTAAGTTGCTAGGGTAGCATCTTTTTTGTTTTGCTTTGTTTTACGTACACACTTTATTTAAAAAACATAAAAATAAGAATCCAATGCATGTTGATACATACTATAGGATAATCCCTTCATTAGATTTTGTAATCAGTGTTTTGATTATCATAATCTCAAAATAGTAAAAACTCAAAAGTTTTGAGAAAGCTATCAAAAGGTTTAACAATAACTGAGTAACAGAGTTTCAGTATGGACTTAAGCTAAAGCAGAGAACACTTAGTTTGGATAAAGCAAAATTTCAGAGGGCTATGAAATAGCACAGACTCATCCATAGGACTCCAAGCTGGAGTTAAAAGTAGACGAGATTCCCTCAGAGGCCTGTCTACCCTGATGATTTCCATTACAAAATTTATTCCATATTATCTTATTGACATAGTTATAAGCTCACTTATATTTAAAAGGTGCAGTTTTCTTTCCTAAGAGAATGAAAAAATAGCTTTATTTGGAGAAAGATAAAACCATTTGTATACATTTTGTACATGTACAATTAAAGCAGAGATAGCTCTAAGAAAAATATTTTATATTAAAAATATAAAATGATTTATAAATGAAAAGATAAATCAGGAAGAATTCTAGAGATAAAGGAAATAATCTGATAATAACTTTGAGTTTGCAACTTCTACAGGGAATTAAAAAGGAAGTTTTAAAATGTTTGACTAACCCAAAATGTCATTTATGAGGCTGGAAATTGCTTAGTAAAGAAATTCCAAAGAACAGCCAGCCTGAACTCCAATAATATTAAATATCTAAATACAGAGCTCTATCATCTATTAAAGGACACTTAAGAGTTTTGCAAGGATATAATTTTCATTTTTAAAATAAAACAATCTCACTTTAGAAGAGCACATTAAACCCTCTATTTTGCAATGAAACAATCACGAATTAGAAAAGCAAAAAATTACATATTTTTGAAAATGTTGGATACAACTTAACCCATAATATCTATGAATATCTATAAAATAATAAACCTATGAATTTCAAACCTTACATTTATCAGAGCATATTTTTCTGAAACGCTAGTAATACACATATACATTATACATATACAATACATTTATTGTTTTTAATAAATAATTATACATATACAATAAAGGTTTTCAACTTTATTCTGTAGACAATATTCAATAAGTGCATCATACTAGTTTACTCCATTGCTATCAATAATCATTTTTAGATAAATGGAGAAATGTACATCAAAATGTTCCATGCTGTGGGACTTAGTTCTCTCAGTGCCATGTCCTCTCAGTGCCATGCCCTCTCAGTGCCGTGTCCTCTCACTGCCATGTCCTCTGTTCTCCATGATACTTTACAAAAACTTCAATTTTATACACTAGGCCATGAGGGAGACACCCCCCCCCACCCCCCAGCACACACACTCTCCTTCCCTCCCTTTGCACCAACAATCTATGGACCTACCTAGTCTCCTTTCCTCTCCCATCCACCCACCCACCCATCTCCCAACCACATGTCTATCATTACTCTGCTCAAAGCGCTTTTCAATTGGTTTTGTGTTTTGTTATATAAACTAGATGTTACCATTAACAGAATAGTTTTAACTATCTGCAATACAGGGGTAGCAATTTGGAACATTAAATTTTAGCTGATAATAGGAAAAAGAAAACAATTATCTTAGAAGATCAATAAGAAAAGAAAATGCCAGACACTAAATTAAAGAAGACATTTGAAGTTCTTAGAAAAGAAAATTAACAGATGGGGAAAAAAGAATCAAATGATGATATCTACGTAAGGTAGGAGAGATGAAATTATATATCTAAATATTTATGAAAATTATGTATTTTATACATAGAATATAATAATATTTTTGTTAAAGAAAAATCACAACTTTGCACATATAGATATATATGTATATACATGTGAAATAAAAGCAAAAAACATTGCAATAATTTTTAAGGATTTGAATACTCACTGTTTTTCCACACCTGGGTCTTTTCACTGCCTATCTAACTGATCTACAGTCTAACTCGAAACCGGAAGCTTTTTGTTTCCACGTTGTGTGAGTGCTTCCTTATGTAAGAGGCTCTGAAAGTGCTCATTTCTACTTCAGCAAATTACAATTCACGATATCTTCAAGCTTACATTTCAGTGAATCACATATTATAAATACACACTTTACATAACTTTAAAGAACTCACTTGGCTTCTTGCAAAAATTTTATTTTCAGTTCCTGAGGAAGATCTTCTTTACATGTTTTAACAGCAACGGAAGTTTTATCCTTTAATGTGCCCTTAAATACTTCACCAAAATTTCCCTGAAAGCACAAATACATTTATTGTTTGAGGTGCAAGACAGCCACGTAAATCTTTGCAAAACACAAGAAAAGCATATAATGATGCGTCTTGAGTTCATCAAAGTACTCTTAGCTTTATTCAGTTCGGAGTGGAAATCAAGTTGCCCTGACCAAGCCTCTCAACTGGAAATGCGCTACTGAAGGCCACTGCGAGCGGAGCCGCTCGGGGGTGGCAGCGGGAGTGGGAGAGGAGGGGGCACAGAGCCGGGCAGGGAAGGGCTGCCAGCCGCTGCCAGGTGTGCTCATGTCACCTGTGATGAATTCATTTCTATCAAATGTATGAACTCCTAACCTTATTCTATGGCTAGAACGTATTTTGATTTAAAATGCCTAACTTCCAGTTTGAAGTCATTTTTCTTTTATTATAAACACAAAACACTACAGAGAAGACCTATAAGGCTAACACAACAATTATTTTTTTAGTATTCCCTTCAAGTTTTTCGACGTATGCTTATGTATTTTTTATAAAGCTATAATATAATATGCAGGCATTACATTATAATAAGCTTCAACGCTACTGTTGTTGAGCAAGAAGGAGCTGAAGTAGAAGTATGCTAGTTACTGAGTTTTCGAGTTCTAAGGTCAATGTAACTCTTAACCAACAGTTCAAGGTATATAAATTCTACATGTTACTAATAAATAATTTAACATGATTAAAAGACAAAATATTTTTGAATATTTTAAGTATTACTTAATATTTTACTTAATTTTAAAATTTTTATTTTACTTAAACTTTAAGTACACTTAAATATTTCATAAATAGCATTCATTATTATTAAATCTAATATTCAATTCTTAAATATTTATTAAAAAACAATGATTATGAATTCAACATAATACACATTCGTCATGTTAGAAAAAGGGAAATTTGAGCTTTGTGTCCTTGTATGTTTGTTATTCTCAAGGTTCCCCCGCCAACACACCCACAATTATGAGGTCATTAATACATCAGCGATAGAGCTGAGAGAAGATATTAATATACACAATTACTGCTAGACTTCTACTTATCTGAATGATTCTGAAGCACTTATAATTTAATTTGTCTAAAACTTAACATTTTACTCATTAGACTTTTCCTGGCAAAATTACCATTTTCATTTACTAGGACCATCATTCTCTCTGCAAGCTTTCAGGTTCTATCTCTGCAATACTTGTGTCTTCCTCCTTGCATCTCAGACAGGCTATCCTGATTCAAGATCCTAACTTTCTCACCTAAACTGCTCTGTCAGTCACTCACCCCTTCAATCTATCCACCACCGCACTGCCAGATTAATCTTCCCAAGAGACAACTTACTTCTTACTCAAAATCCATCCTTCAATCATCATCACTTTCTCAGCCTGTCTAGCTCCAAAATACAGCCTGTTACATGCGGCCCAAACACAAGTGATCCCACAACACAGGCCATGCCTTTCCTACATTTTCATCCTCCGTGGAAACCAGCCCCCACCTCCAATCAGGGAAAATGCTAGCTAATTTTTAAGTTCATTTCTTAAGCCCCCTTCTTCTGAATACTTTCTTGATCTTCCCAAAAGTATGTATCCCGTTACTGAACACTTACCACCCTGTTGCCCCTTTGCACTTTTCTAATGGTTTCTGCCCTATACAACAGGTCTTGGCATATAATAGGCATTCGAAAATTTTAAACATTCACTCAACAATCATAATGCTATCAGGACTTCAACTCAATCAACAGTGGTCAAGGGGGAATCTCCAAACACTGAGAAATAGACCAGGCTTCCCAGATACCTCTTCTCCATCCAAAGAAGTCAGGAGGAAGCCTAGGACACCCTGTCATTTAACAGGCACAGCTTCATCTCTGCTACTAAGTCCATGAGGCTAAATAATATGTCTCTTGCCAATTTTTATGTCATTTTTCATGAGAAGATCTTGGTCCTAGGTTAATCCTCATCTCCCTCTTTAATCTTTCCTAGATTCTGCAGACTTCTATTCAACCCTCTATATCCAAATTTTCCCCTTCCACGGTGCCTTCTGGAAGCCATGGTTCATCACGACAAACATTTTGTCTTCAGTGTCTTTTTTGGTCATTCTCTTCACCTAATTGTTCCAACAGAAACTTGCTTCTCACTTGAAAACACTCAAATGGTGGCTGAGCTTCCTTTTGCCTTCTAAACTTAAAAGACAACTTCTCCATCCAACTCTTCTTCCACTGACCTGGAGATGGAATAAAGTATTCTACTAGTTCCTTGTTAATGTTTTCAAACCATTTTTATCTCCTGATTTCCTCAGAAAAAACACCCAGCTTTGAAGCTTTATCACTTGATTATATACCAACTGACCCTTACTATGGCTACCAGCCATTGAATTTGAAAATATTTTCCTTCATTTACTGACAATTTATAGTGAGCTCCTGATCACTATACCCAGTGTTATTCTTGTCTTAATTCTTGGCAATTTCAACAGACACTTAAAAATCCTTGCAACAGTTCAAACTCCATTTTTTTGAACATCTCTCTTTCAACGATCTTCTGTTTCAAACTATTTCTAGGATCATGACAAACTTCGCTATTGCCAATAATGCAACTCCTCTATAATATCTATTTCATTTTCTGGCTGGCTTCTATTTTTCTAGCTTACTTCCTCTAGTATCTACACTACAAAAATCCTGTAACTCTGTAAGAACCTCAAAATCTTCAGACCCTATTACTTTTCATTGTCCACCACCCCCTTAATATCCTTTCTTCCTTCCTATCTAGCCTAAATTCCATGGTCAATAATTACAACTGCTTACCATACATTTCCAACATTTGTGTTCCCCTTAATCTGTAGAACTTCCTTGTCAAATCCACAACCCAAATTAAACGCAACACTCTGCCTACTCTGCACCTAGTCAGCTAAATGTAACTGAAGAAAACCCACAACCAGGTAGACTGGTTCCACTTTAAATTCATGAACACAAACCTCCTTAATGCTGCCCAACAATCATATGACAATTCTCTCACGCTCATTCTCAATACGTTTCCCCCTTCTACTCTCTTAAATGCCCTACTCTTCCTCCCTCCACCCTCATTCGTAGTTGATAATCTTGCTTCCTACTTCACTAAGAAAACTGAAGCAACCTAGAGAGAACTTCCAGACTCTCAGCTCCACATTTACCCACCTACCAATCTTCCTTGCTCTTATAAAAATGAACTACTGTGTTTTTACTGAAGTCAGTTCTCCACTGTAAACTAAATCCCCTCTTACCTACTCAATGACATTACTCCACCAATTCTCATCTCTCCCTTGCAAATCATAAATTTGTCACCAGATCATTCCCAACTGCAAACCAGCATGCCTGCAGGACACTACACGACCTATACATTCACCGACTCACCGACTTCCTGTCCTATCATAGTCTTCCTTGCTTCCTCAGTTACAACCAAAAGATCTCCCTTGCCCTTCAAATGAAATTTGCATTGGTTACTCCTGTCTAGAACCCTCTTCCTTAGATGTCCACATGGCTAAATCCCTCCTATCCAAGTTTTTATTTGAAATAAATAAATTTTAATAAGACAATTTTTAAAAACAATTTTAAAAGACTTGCCTGAATTTCCTTATTACAAATTGCAACTTCTAACAATAGCACTCCTAAATTCCTTGTATTTTTCACAAGACTCAGCATCCTTTAACATTATAAAATTTACTATTTATTACATTTATTGTTTATCAGCCTTCTCCTGATAGACAGAATAAAAGCTCCATGAGGGCAAGGATATCTGTCTGCTTTGTTCATCAATTTATCACTAGTACCTAGAAGAGTACCTGTCACATAGCAGGCAATCCTCAACAACTTGAGGACTGCATAAAATATTTCTTGAATACCAACTATACATCAAGTATGGTCTATTAAGAGTATAGTACTCAAAAAGTTAGAATTCCTGTCTCAATCTTCTATTACTACCAAATTCCAAAGTCTATAGTGTAGGAACTAAGGCTAATTCTCTTTCACTCATGCATTCTCAAGCAGTATACTGTATTTATTCAGAATAGGTAGTGAAAATATTAAGTGACAAATAATTTTCTACTTAAACATATTAGCTGAAATTAAGCTATACTGTTATCTTTCAAGTTGCAGCCTTTTATTAAAAATGATTAACGTTTTGAAACTGGCATCATGCTACTGCCTTGTCATTGAGAAAAATGCTTATTCTTTGAAATACCCTTACTAAGAAAATAGAGGCTAAAACTCCTCCTGATATACTATATTTCACATATTAAAATAAACATAAAAATAGTTGAAATATTTCTGTTTTAACTGAAAATATTTTTTCCTGAGTACTAAAAAAAAAAAAAAAAATCTATCCTCAACATGTTATATTTCAGTAAGTGGTTTAATTTTACAATTTATTATTTAATTATATTTTCATGGAAATTTATTTAATGTCTTTGTAATAACTTTTTGCCCAATCAGTGCTACAGACCCAAAGTAATAAAAGGAACTATTTCCTTAAGAATGACCAGCATGTCACAGAGAAAATAAACACATCAGCTAATGCTTTTAGCTTGAGATGCTTTAGAATTCACTTACTAAATATGTATTTGCAGCAAAAGAAACTGCTAGCCAACAGCAATTTCATGCTTCCATTTGGAAAAGATTTAAAAATACTAATAAGAACCCTGCAAAGTAGCTCAATTCAATAGGGATTTACTTTCTTAAAATACATCACAGCTAAAAAACAGGGGGGGGAAATTGTCAATTCATCAAGTTTACATTTAAAACAAAAAAGTAATGAATAATCATTTTTTACTTAAATTGCTGAGCTTTAAGTCTAGCACTGGTAACTCAGAAATGTATGAGTGATAGTTTTCCCAAAATAGCTAGATTTTTTACACTGTTTTTCACATTGCATTATTAAACTAAATTCAAAATTTCAAGTGGAATCACTAATTAAGTCATTGACAAAGAAGTTAATATTTGCCCATTGGAACCTAATTATAAATAAACAATAAATTTGCAAGTAGTCCATTTGATTATCAAATGTTTGCCATTATTGTTAGACACAGTTTATACTTTCATATGGCCTATGAACTGAAAGAAACTTCCAACTAGGTTAGAAGACAGAGACTTTTATCATATCTATCTGTCCACTCTAACCACGAATAGAGCTAGCTACAAAATGAGTATTTATACTGAAATACGTGTCTTGTCCATACAATTTTTAGATAAAATAATGTGTCCAATACTGTTACATACTCTGAGTCTCTACACAATCTTGAAATCCCAAAGAGCAGTATTCTACATTTTCTGAACTACCATGTATAACAGAAACAAATAGAACAAGACTATATTAGGCATTTATATAAATGTTTATTACCTTATAGTTTCTTTTCAAATCTCAGCTCAATAGTTTTGGCCTTACTATACTATAGTAAAATCATTATGGCTTTTAATGCAGAGGAACACACACAATACTATTTTTAAAAGTTAAAAATCATCCTTAAACATTCCAAAGGTTTTCACACCTCTATTTCAGTGAACATTCCAGTGTTTATAACAGATGTGGTAGTGTGTTCTAGGTTACTGGGGGAAGGTGCCCGGTTGTGTGCTAGAGCATAAGGTGGCTTTGAGGAAATGAAGAAGCTACAGAGTTCACAATCACTATAAAGACCGTTGGTTATTTAGCTCAGTTGATTACATACCTTGCCCAGTAACTCTCCCAATGTGACATCTTCATGATTGAGAACCCATTTCTTATCCTATGGCAAAGAAAAAGAACAGTTTTTAGCCCAAGTAAGAGTGCATTTCCTGTAAGATGCGCTGGAAGCAGTGGGAAATAGACCTAAGGGGATACTTCATTCAGACCGTTCAGTCTACAGCACACTAAGAAGTTCTAACCTTAGAAGTCTATAAAACAGATTTAAGAAATGTTACTACACAATAGGATTTTAAAATCTACATTACAGCAAACTTCTATCAGAAATCCTAGCTGTCAAAACAATGGTGTCCCTATAACTAGAACATAGCATGCACTTTTCTCTCCCCATAAAGCCAGGCTATGCTATTATTTGTCATTTCAAAAGAGATGTGTCATAAGTACATGAGAGAATTTCATTTTACAATGCAAAATTTCCAAATCTCCCTTGATCAGAGAATTCTTTTTCTACCCAAATCACATTACTAAGAGCTAATTTTTCCACACATGAACTGGCCATGGGTTACAACTGTTTATGACACTGTGCGTAGTCCCATATCTTGCCTAAGTAATTTCCTGTAGTATAATAAACAAAACGAGGGTCCATAAGACCAGTGATGCAAACATGCCATTATAAAGCATCCCATTATCTGATCTCAAGAACTAATTACTACTTAGGAAATAGTTTATCATCTAAAAATCTCAGCTATTAAGCCACATAATACCATAATGTTATAAAGGCATACATTTTTTTTTTTAAAGGAAAAAGAAATGAAGCAAGGGGAAAGGAGGGTGAGAGGAAGAAAGGGAGGGACGGAAAAACAAGGACCCGGGGAAGAGACAGGCAAGGAAAAGAAAATCCTGGAGTGATGTGTTTTACTCAGGATTTGTTTTACATTAACGTTAAAATGTCATATTCCCCAATTACACATCTCGAAATGTAATTATGATCTATAGAATGAGTTGTAACACGTAAACAAACATCTTGAAGTAAAAAGCCACCCTAACTATGGCAACTGAAATGGGATTTCTGTCTGTCCTCTAGTGCACATGCTCAAGGACATGCATTATTTTCTTAGATGATAATCTACGATATATGATACTTGAGTGTCATGTTTCCAGAAAGCCGATTCATGCCAAATTGCAGAGCTACCCTAAAGTTGAAGAATTTCATATATATAAAGTCTCATTTAGGTCTATGAGTAGTATATCTAATATGAAACAGATTCCAAAATGACATTTTCATTGAATTGTAGAACTGGAAGATCAGCAAAGCAACTCTGAGGTTTGAATCACCTTGAGCTAAGAACACATGGGCTTGAGGTAGCTCAGAGAGGGAGATACGGGAATTCTGCCGAAAGCAATCCCCGCCCCCGCTTCAGTAACAACTCCCCCCAACCCTCTCTACAGCAGCAAGATTGATTCCAGCTTGCTCACTTCCCAGAACTTCAGGCTATTCTCTAACTACATTATATGTAATAGTCCGAGGCCCAATTTAGAAGTCTCTAAATTTATTTATTTATATGGGTAGTTTTAAGTACAATTTTAAAATATGGTTGTCATGGCAACATTTTTCACTCAAGGCTCTAGAATACATCAAGTTTATTTGTATTCTGTTCCTGAAAATCTCGTGGCCTCCATAATTGGATTAGAAAATATTGCAGAGTCCAAACTACCCATTAAAGTAGGAAGAAATTTGTTTAAATTTCAAAGGTAATACCAGTTGTACCTACTTAAAGAAAAGAAGCAATTGGCAATTCTAATTTTAAAGTAGGCTTAACAATGACAAATATTTAATGTAACATATAAATTCAATAGAGGTTTGGTTTATTTTTATTGTTAAAATGATGAGGGGTTTTCAGGGCCCCAGCCAGCTCTGGACTGCTATCAGTAGCAACCTTACCACAATCTTGGGCATACATTAACCCTTTGAATACTTGTCTATACTGGGAATACTTATCTTGAGAGCAATCTTGCAGTTGAATGTATTCCTCTATTATAATAAAAGCACCAAAGAAATCTGGGTTGGAAAGGACTGCAGAGATCATCTAGGCCAACCTTCTGCCCTGACAGTTGTCATCCACCCATGCACTGATTTAGTCACCCATTCATTCAAAAAGCCTTTAATGAACACTGCTGCTTACAGCAGGTGATAAGTATGACTTCAGGTAACTGAAAAAAATCACTAAAATACCCAATGATGGTGAACAATCTACTTCAGCAACAAAGCCAATTTAATTTTAGTTGTTCTAATTCTTACAAGACTTTTTATTATACAGGATGTGGCAAAAAGAGGTTTACCGTTGTACGAGAAACATAGTTTAGTCTTGTATTATTATTTATTAATTACTGTGTTATTCCCCATACGAACACTGTAAACCCACTTTGTCCCACCTTGTATTTCATTTCTATCCATTGGCTCTAGTACTGGGGACACAAAGGACACACCTCCTCAGTCTACTATACAACAGCACATTATATGTGAGAACAAAAACCACATCCTCCTGAAGGCGAGGTTTTCTGATGTTAAATGTCTAAAATACCTTCTATCATTTTTCATGTGAAGCAATTTCTAAACATTTTCAAAATATATGGAGAGTGCATTAAATATCTATGCAGGCATATGGTTAAATTATTACAAATACAATATATTCTGATCAACATAGCTTTCTGAAATGTATGTACATCCCACCCCACCTTCCTGCTTATATGTTATGTTCATAAATAAAGGACACAATGTTATTATAAACGTCAAACTTTTTTCATTACTTAGTAAGATAAACATATTTTACTAATATCTTACTTAGCCCAGTATATTCACTGAATCACTAATTACGACACAGGAAATAGAGTATCTTTTGGTTCCAAAATGTAACACTTTACTTGAAAATTATTAATAGGAAAACAGCAAATTTCTAAAAAGAAAAATGTGGCAGGATATAGATGTTCCCAACTGACTGGGGGAAAAAGTTAACTTTTATTGAACTTTTAAATAATGCGTCTCAGTTTTCTGAAGGAATATTTTATATTTGAGATTTTTTTGTATTAGTTGAAAGCTTTGTGATAAATCTCAGTGGTATAAGTAGACAATGCAGGTATTGTAGAGGTAATGTTAACTTGATTTTTTGTTACAATTTAAACAACAAACCTTAAGTAATGAAGACTGTTATTGGCCAAAATTGTGGGTCAAACATAAAATTTACATATGATCATAACACCATAATAACTCAGTAAATAATAAACTAATAGTCTTTCAACTTTTTCAAACATTGCTTCATAATGATAAAAAATAAATCACAGTAAATCTTCATGAAAATAGCTTAACCTAATAATGAACTTTAGGAACTTGGAATTGATAATAAGCAGGAATTGAATAATCATTACTTTAATGATATGTGTTTTAGTGTTGCATTAGAAAGTCAATAAATCACTGCATGACAAGTGGATATAAGAAATGAAGGGTAAAAGTAATTTATCTATAGGTTACTTCTTGTCTTTATATTATAGAGTCACTTGTACTTTTGCAGCATCAAATTTGTACCAAATTCCTCTGATACTGGAGAGCAAAAAGGTTGCTCAACTGTATAAGTAAATATGACCTAGTACTGGATTTTAATATTTTATGAACTACCCAGTTTTCATACCCTTCAAGAGGGGGTAACTGAAATTCTTTGACTAAAATGACAAGGTAATTGGGGATTCTATTATGATCTAAGATAGTATTAATAAAAATACCAAGGAACAAAGTTTAGAGATGTTTATGAGATAGAATTAGGCACTTTCATTGGAAGATACAGGCTGGAGATAAAGATTTTGGTGGCCACATGAGCTCAAGAAATCACAATGTACCTTCTATGGCACATCTAAGTAAACAATATTTAGTCTCATTGGTTGATTTGTGAGTGAGACTGAGAAGTGGGAGGAATGGAAAAATTGGTCGCGTTCCCCCCTGGGGAGCTGGCTAGGGCTACTGAATCTGATTCTAACGACTTTTGGATGTGGAGGTGCTTCTGCCCGTCTCAGTTTAGGTCCTCGCAGAACCACACCCTGAAATGTCCTGCCAATCTGAGCACAGCACTGACAACATCTGCTGCGATGCCTTTATCACGTATGTATCTGATCTTCCCAAAGACTTAGAAGCCTTAAGGATCCCTCTCTCTAGAACTTCCTGTCCCTCCTGTCCTTACCAAATCCTCCTTCCAGAGTACAATCTGTCTGACATTGCCTCTATCTTTACTCCCCACATATACATAATTGTAAGCAGAGTCCAAACTACTTACTGAATGTAGGAAAATATTTGTTTAAATTTCAAAGGTTAACACCACTTATATCTGTTTTAATAAAGAAAGAAGCAATAGACAAATCTAATTTAACAGTTAGGCAAGCTAAATAATAACTAGATGGCTTAGGAAAGCTAAACAAATATTTAATATAGTTTATGGATATTAACATTTGGGTTTTTATCTTAATTAATATTTAATGTGAGTATTGTTTTTCCTGACCTCATTCTGAACCTCTTATGTAATATTTTGCAGTATACACCTGTGCTTCTTCTACCTCTAGTAATGAGATTTGTGACATAATATGCACCTGGAATTTGACCTTATTATCAAGAGAGGCAGTGTTTCATCTCACAAAAGAAGCAAATTCTACAATGTGCTCTAACGGTAATATTCATATTCATTAACTAATCTTAATATTACTAACATAAAATGGTTTTCAATTTCCCCCCCAAATCCATCAGAATACACTTGATATCTCTATTTCTAAACAGATGATTGAAGTCTTACCATGTGTGAAGTAAAAATAAGAATGCAAATTATGCTAGAAAACCATTTCAATCTCTCATAAAAGAACTTCCAAGGGTATTACTAAAAAAGCAAAAACACTGAATTGTTTAAATAAATACTCAGGACACTTAAAAGATGACTATAAATGAAGTAAAATTTGCCAGATAGTCTCAATTCCATTTTCTTAGGAATGATGTAACTTTATAGTATCTTGAAGCCAAATTTCATATCTGTTAAAAGCAATAAATCTTTATAAAACATATAATTTCAGAAA